GCTCCCGGGGCTCCCCGCCCGCGGCCGGACGCCCCTCCACTCCGCTCCCCCGAAGCCTCGGCAGAGCCCGCTGCCCGAGTCGAGGTCACAAAGGGTCACCACGCACGGAGCCGCCCCTCCCTGTGCCCTCAAGCCCCCCCTTCGAGGCCGGGACTCTCCTGCGAGCACCCCGGGGTGCTTCTCCTCCCTCCTTCCCTCCCAGATCTTCTAAGGGTGAGGGAGGCAGCGGGGGCTCCCTGGGGCCCGACTGTCGGGCCCTCCGTCCCTGTGGCCCCGGATGCCCCTGCCCTGCCTGGGTTTTAAGTTCAGAGCCGGGGGCAGTTCCCGCGTAGTTTGCAAGTTGATGGCTCGGATTCCGTGGGAAAGTCACGGGGTGGCGGAAGGGACGTCGTGACCGCGTAGGCCGTCTCTGCGTCTGCATCCTCGGTCTTGGGGGCAGCGTATTCCTGAAGCCTTTGGGGCGATCGGCTCCGGGCCCACCAGGGACAGTTTGCGGTTTCTGACCCTTTTTTTTGACAGAGTCGTCGCGACTGGCATTTGGACTCTGGGGGATTTTTTTGTACTTTTTTTTAGTGATCTCGAACCAGGTGATTATATTCTGGAAGGGTGCCGATCATTTTGGTAGGGTGATGTGGAGGAAGCAACTCCTGTGTACGAAGACGTTCTTTCGTTAAAAAAGATTTTAGCGGTTGGTACTTCTGAATGTAAATGACCAAGAAACCCAACAGTCTGTCTGGTTTTCTCCAGACAAAAATAGACTGGTTAGTTTTTGTTTACTTTTTTTTTTTTTTTTAATGTTTCACTAAATTATTGCTGTGTTGGTCTGTTTGTTTAAGATCTAGCTAGTTGGGTTTTCTTTTTCCTTTTTAATGAGTGGATTGTGTTGAAAATTTGAGAAAGTCTTATTTCCTCCTGAAACAGCCAGGACTTAAGGTTTTTTCTCGCTCACTATCGCGATTTCTATTTTTAGGGTGGAATGCCCTGTTAGTCATAAACACTTGCTGGATGTTAGCTCGGAAATTTACAAAACAATTGGTTCAGTTAAAATGTAGGGAAAAATTTAAGATTGCAACACATCACCAAACTGAACTAGATTTAAAAAATCAAACATTGTTCTCTGCAAGGTTGATTATAGTCTTTTAGTGTAAAATTGATTTTTTTCCCCAGAAAAAAAATGTATTAGTTGACAGAAACAAAATGGGGCTAGGGCTTGACTTGAAGAGGGGAAGGAGGCATTTTAGTGCCTTTTGTTTTTTTGGGGTTTTTTTGTTTTTGTTTTGAGTAGGAGTCTTACTCTGTCTTCCAGGCTGGAGTGTAGTGGCCTGCTGGGTTCAGGTGATCCTTCCACCTCAGCCTTCCAAGTAGCTGGAACCACAGATGTGCCCCACCGTGCTCAGCTGAATTTTTTAATTTATTGTAGAGACAAGGTCTCACTAAGTTCCCCGGGCTGGTCTCAAACCCCTGAACTCAGACAATCCTCTCACCTCCTCCTCCCAAAGTGCTGGGATTACAGGTGTGAGCCACCATGCCCAGCAAGTGTGACTGTCTTTTAACTCCAGAGCTCTCCCCTTGGGACAGGTAGGAAAGGACTTGACAATAAAGGGAAGAATTCTGATACAGGAGATTAGGAGAGACTGACTTAAGAAACTCCTTTTGTTGTATTATAGAGTAACAATCCCAAGCAGAGAAAATGTATACATTTCTGCCTATTCTTCCCCACATATCTGGTATGTCTCTTTCTATGCCCTGTGGTCCCTAAGAGAGGCCATCTCCTCCAGTGAGATTAAAACTCGGTGCCCCCTTCCCCTGTTCACGGTATAGGACAGGAATTTTATTTCCCTGTATCCAGCTAAAAACTCATGTGATTTAATCAAAGGAAGCTTTTATTAAATTAATGACTAATGAACAGCCACAACAGGAGTTCAGCATTATACAATTAGGACTTTTTATTTTCTTCTCATTTTTCTCTACTCATAATGTCAGCTCTTATACCCTCTGCTAGTTGGATTCCTTAACCACACTACTATATCCCATACCTGGGATGTAAAGGCTACCTGCTAGGATTTGTTTTAGTCTCATCAAAAAGATAAGAGCTGAAGTGACTAATCATACTTCCCAGAAGCACCATTGTGAGTGCAGTCTGTAGCCTAGTATCAAAGTCTAACATTCAAAAAAGGCTGAAAACTGAAAACTTTTTAAGCGTGGCAACAAAATTTATTTGTTAGCAATGTATGTGTGACCTGAACTAACGAGAAGCTATATATAGTCTTTTTCCCTTATGTTTTGCTAGAGCCATATTAATATGTTTGATTGAGGGAGACTGCCCTTGGCCACTGGTATGTGGAGTGGTATGTAATGGTTGTGTACCTTGTAACATTTTTAAATTCTAAGAAATTCTTATTTCTAAAACACATCCAGCACTTGGGTTATAGGTAAGGAATTGTGAACCTGTATTAATATTTTTGACAGCACATTTGTGCTAGGTATTTGTTTATTCAAAAAATTAAAGTAATTTAAGGGCCAGGCCTGGCAGCTCCGTCTGTAATCCCAGCACTTTGGGAGGCTGAGACGGGAGGATGGCTTGAGGCCAGGAGTTTGAGACCAGCCTGGACAATATAACGAGACCCATCTGTACCAAAAAAAGTCAAAAAAATTAGCCAGGTGTGTTGGCACATGCCTATAGTCCCAGCTACTTGGGAGGCTGAAGTGGGAGGGTCACTCGAGACTGCAGTGAGCAGCGATTGTGCCACTGCACTCCAACCTGGGCAACAGAGCAAGACCCCATCTCTAAAAAAATAAATAAAAAGTAAAGTAACTTAGAACATCCTTCCCTCAGTAAATTCTGCTGAGCTAGGATGGAAAAAATACCTTTATCATAATGCAGAGGTGCAGTGATAGAGGTATGTAGAGTTTACTTGTAAGCATAGCCATTAAGTGATCCTAACCGGAAATGAATAGTCCCAGGTTTAAGGTTAGTTTATACTTTTAGACTCTGAGATTAAGCAGGAACATGACAACTCATAACGTAAGCCCAAACTTCCTTGACTCTGTTTTGTCCACACAAAATGAGAAGATGGTATGATTCAAAAAAAAAGAATCCTGGAATGGATATTGGAATATATCCCATCTTTTCAGCTCTCTGACCTTATATAAGTCACTTAATTTTCAAGGTCTTGGTTTACAGATCCATAAATGAGATGATCAGAGTAGGTGACTCTTCAGAGAGGTTTCTTTCAGTTCTAGTATTCCAGCTGAAGATATTTCCTCTCAAAACTACTGCCTGCTTTTTACAAGCATTTCCCACTAAGGACATGATCTATTTCATTTCAAACTACTATCCCGCTCATGTACATTGTCATTTTGCTTGTAGATAATTCACATGGTTCAGAATTCAAAAGATACACAAGGACACAAAGGGAAGCATCTCTCCTGCACGTGTTCCTCAACCCCCCAGCTCTCTGCCTAGGAAGTAGTCATGTTGACAGTTTCTTGTATATTTTTTCAAAAATTATACATGTATAAGCAAATATTATATATACTTTATTTTTCTTCCCTGTTTTAGATAAATGGTGTATGCTATACCTAGTTTGGGGTACCTTACTTGTTCACTTATCTTAGAAGTTCTGTATTATATAAGTGGCGTTCTCATTTTTTTTATGGTTGCCTAATATTCCATTGTATAATGTACGACTATTTTATCAGCCCTCTTTCTTTGGGATATTTAGGGATTTTTTTTCCCCAGCTCTTTATTAAAAGCATTCTGCAATGAATAACTTCGTACATTCATCATTAACCACATGGGTAAAAGTATCTATGCCCTAGCTAGTGACCCAGCGAGATTCTGTCGACTTTGACTCACATGTTCTCTGTGCTAGTCTGACGTAGGAGTGCAGTGGATCAGGGCTCTGCAAGACTCTAAAAGGAAGCACAGGAGGTAAATCGCACACCTGTGTCTTCAGCTGAACCCTGACAGCGTGTACGTACAAACACAGTGTGTGCGCGTGCACGTGCGCACATGAAGCAAATGGGTTACATGTAAGGACCTTGTCCCAAATGAACACACATACAAGTCCTTAAACATTAACATGCGGAGAGCAAGGTTTACAGCGAGCGGCATGTGAGCACCGAGACCAACAGGTGTGGCACCAGGTCTGAGCCTCCCAGCCCTGCTTGTTCCAAGGCATGTGCTCAGGAAGGACTGTTAAAACTGGTGGTTTTCTTTTAATACTTCTGCCAAGCATCTATAGCTGAATTTGGGTATGATGCAACTTCAAGGTATTTCCACCTGACCAGTAAGAAAACTATGCCTAAAAGAGGTAAACTGTTTACCAAAGTTGTTTAAGAAAGGGGCAGACTTGAGGCTGGTTTCTAATCCAGGGCTCTTCCAGCATGTCCCTTCCCATAATTGTGCAGTTCCAGCAGCGGGTCTGAGAATGCCCAAGGGTCAGGACCTGTAGTAGGTGAGTCTCTGCCTAGACGCAGAAGCAACCTGAAGTTCAGAAAGCAGTCATGCGTCCTACTGGCGACAAAGTGACATTCTACAAGAACTTGCTGAAGTCATCACGTACCATGCTGATGAGCAATCAGGAGGCTTCCAAATCAGAAAATTAAGTGCACATAGAGAAGCTC